ATGCAGCAATGAATATCATAATGGAAGATATTCACTTGTAAGAGTTTTTTTTATAAGTTGAAAAACATGTTTTTAGAAACGAATCAAGAACCCCCTAAGGAAGCACCACATCTGTTATTTCTCTCCTCCCTGGGCTGTCTTGTTTTAGTGGAATCCAGGTCGTCTTGTTAAAGGTCAGACAGCGAAGGTGTGTGAATGCTCAGTCAACTGGTACCCAACCAAAACCACAGTGAGAGATGCTTGAAAGAGACACAAAGAGTCTGATGACTTTGATAGACACGCACAAAGGCATGTGTGAGCCCTTCCAACTGTCAAAGGCCTCAAGGGAAGGGGCGGGGACCCGGAAAGGAATAGGAGCCACCTGCTCAGGAGGCTCAGTGCAGGACGCTGAAGTGATCCTGTCGGATCCAGGGCTGGGTGCTGGGAGCAAAGAAACACAACACAGAATTTAAGTCGAGAAATGAAAATGCAAAACAACCATAGCTGGAATTGTCTACATTCTTGGTCCAATAAGTCCTAAAGTGATGGGAAAGGAAAGAATCGGGACACCAGACACACTGCAGCTGTCCCCTGCAGCCACTCCGCCCCTCCTCCATGGAATGGAATGGCTCCTTTTGTTTTCCTTTCATTATTCGTTGTTGTATTTTGTGGGTTTTTTTAATGAAAGGGGGAAGGAAAATATTTTCCCCCTTGTCATGTGATACAATGGTTTTACTTTTTTCAATGACTTGAGAAATGTTTGCTTTGCATAAAAGATTTAGGTAAATCTTTAAATGTAATCCAAAAACATATGGGGGCAGAATATTTGTCGGTGAAGGACTCTTTTCCCTGAACAGAAGACAAATTAGCAGCAATATGCCAGCCCCCAATCTTCCAAGAAAGTATGCTGCATCATCAGCAATATACATGTGCTTTGAAAAGAATTCATCTATGACTCTTGTCCTAAAGGTCTGAGGCCTCAGGCTGGTAAAATCTTTCTGGTGCTTCCGGAAACCAAATGATCTTGGGTAGATCCAAGTAGAGCTCCTGCAGGACCACAGAACAGTAAGAATCTGCCATATTTCTTCCTCACAAATTCTATTATGTGGTCTCAAATTGGTCAGTAGAGAAATCAGAATCTGGACAAATACTCACAGTGTAGGGCTTTACCGCTTCTGTTATCTTTTTTCTCTCAAATAATAACAGTGATATAAAACTGGGTACTAGAAGAATAATTGTAGGTGCTATTTGTTGGGCAGTTATTGCCAGGCGCTTTGCCTCTTTTATTCCTCACAATACTCCAAAGCTCACTGCGCCCATTTCAGGTGAGGACATTGAAATAGCGGTGCAGAACCAAGAATTCAGTCCCAGAGCTAACAAAGCCTGTAGCGCAGGTTCCTGGCTGCTGGGTGATATCGCCTCTCAGCAGTCCCTAGGCCTGTCTGCTCCAAGTGAGCTTGCACAGTCTTGCTTCTCTTGGACAATCTTTCTTATGCTTCTCACCGACAAAAATTAACTTTCATAGTTTAGAAATGAAAGCTGTTTTTCCAGGATATTTGCATTTCATTTAATCAGTAGGACCACATCAAGGGTGATAGCAACTTAGAGAGGAAATGAGACTAAAGTGTTTAGTGTAATGTATTAAAATAAATTTGATATTTTGTCAAAGAGGGAGTAGTAGGTGGGGAGGGGTCAGTATCCTGAGAACTGCTTTTTCTATTTTTTTACTTTGTAAGTCATCATGAGCCTCAACATATTTTCCTCTTGACATGCAGCCAATTTAATCTTTTAATATAAAATATCCTAGTGGAGTTTTTTCTTTGCTCCTCAATGTTAATCTAAAACGTTATTATTAAATAATACATTTTGAGCAGATATTAAATATATTATATTTAAAACAAATGAGAAATATGTTTAAAAAGAAGAAGAAGTTCCTGTTTTATAAAAGGGCAGATAGTTAAGTAAAAACCAGAAGCCTCCATTCTCTATAACCATGAAGAATGCAAAGAAAACTACATTTATAGTGATGAATATGTCTGAGTGATCACAATGGTGCTAATCTGTGAGTACAATACCATTTAGAATGTGACAATGTCGGCTGGACACTTTAAATTTTAGTGATTAGAGAGAATTACCTGATGGCTATTACAGGATGTCTGAGTTCGCTCCCCATAGGAAAGAAGGGAAAGAAACAGAGGAAGTAATTAGGGTGAAACAATGGAGGCTGTGGGGGTGAGGAATGACACTTCCTCCCACCCTCCCCTCACTGCCCACCCCAGACTGGCCCAAGGAGCCAACAGGGACCGTGTGGACAAGGCGGCAGCTTACCCCCGCACACAGCAGTCACCAGGGACTTGTGCTGCCTCATCTCTAAGACCACTGGGCTTGGGCCAGCTGCCTCCAAGGATCTTGCCAGATCTGCCTTGGTCTGTGATTTTGAAATAAAACTTCATTCCATTTGAGAAGATTAACATTAAGAAAGGAGGACTGCATGAAGCAAGTGAAAAAGGCAATTTTCAAAAAATGGAATGGCAGGCTGTTTACCTGTCCCAAGCCACACCAATGTGTCACTGAGACACACCACATCACCACGTTACTATGTTAGCTCAAGATGTAATGCATGCTGGGAACATGGCTCACTCAAGACAGTATATGATTTCCAGATCACTTTAACCACTTTGAAGCAATGCCTTTCTTTGCCAAATATTCGATCTGTCATAAAACCAGTATCACCTTTTTGGTTATCTTTAAAAAAAAACTTTCCATTATACCAATGAACAGGTAAGGGACTTATAATTCCAGGTTATTTGCAAAAAAAAAAATTTGTTTTTAAATGTTTTTCCTCTTGTACATCATATAACTAACCTAGCGTCATAGCTGAAAAGAAAAGCTGGTAGTTAAAGCAATGGAACTCCAAGATGATGGACTGTAATTATTAATAGTGCCTCTTTGACAAGAGGAGTATCTTCTGTTCACTAGAGCATGACTTTTCTCTTGTGACATGTCAAGGATTATGAACCCAAAGCCCTAAATACAATGTTCATTATTTGTACTTGCCCCTCAACATTTATTGAGCATATATTATGTGCCAGATATCATGCTAAAGGACAGAGACAGAAAGATGAGCAAGGCACATCCCTGGCCCCCATTGATTTACAGGGATTAAAGGGAAATGCGTTGCTGGCCTATGAGAGACAAGATAGAGTGATTGGATTTAATGTGTGAGTCATACTCTTGTCACTTAGGGTAAATATTCAGTTTCACATCTCATTGTTAATAAAATGACATTATAAGAACTTAATTGAGGAAATCAAGCCTCCTGTTCTAGCCAACGAGGTGCTGAAGCTTTCCTTGAATACGCTGTAGCTAATCCTGATCACACATCAGATACAAATGGCACCTTGCTTTGAGTTCATAAGAAATCTAGCATGGAAGGGCATGGACTATAAAACTGTTTTGATCTAGGCCAATTTTATTTACAACTTCCCTCTGATTTTCTTTTACTGACTCTCCCAGGGCAGAGATAATCCATGAACAACCTGTAGATAGCCAAGCCCAACGGACCCTTTCCAATCTGCATCTTCCTTGACCTCTCTGCAGCCTTGGAAACCATCGGCCACTTTCTCCATGAAGCCCCCTCCCTGTTGACTCCCATGCACCCTTCTCTTCAGTTCTCTTCCTTCTCCACGGCTTCTCCTCCTCGTCTCCTCTGAGGGCTCCTTCTACTCTGCTCACCGCATAAAGGCTGGTGGCCTCAGTTACCACCTCTGGGCTGACACTGGTCACATGCATATCTGCGGCTGGGTCCCTCTCTTGCTCTAATGAGCTCTACATCTGGCTGTTTTCTGGACACTTCTCCTGGGTGTGCCGCAGATACATCAACTGATACTCAGGACGTTTACAATGGAGCTGGTCACCTCCTCCCCAGCACCCGCTCCTTCTTCTCTATCTCCAGCTCATTTGCCAGCATTCGTGACAATCAGGACAAGCCGGAGACCTGGAATCACCTGGACTCTTCATACCTGAGTCTCTCATCACCAAATTCTGATGACTCAACTCTAAATATTTCTCCATTGTGTCCCCCTTCCTCTGCACCGTGATGGCCCTGGCTTGGCCCTCCATCTTCTCCCAGATGTCGTTGCCACCAGTCTTGTCTGTCTTAAGAAGTGTCCTCCACGGGCTCTAAAATGAACTCTCTAAAGTTCCACTTTGCTCTGATTGCTCCTCAGCTTCGAATCGCTCTACCCTTCACACTCAGGATACAGCCCCAGCTCCCTCGGGTGCCCTCCAGGTGCACCTGGCACTTCTCCAAGACTGTGAGTGCCTCAAGGAGAGGGACTGTCTTTTCATTTAGTCAGCAGATACCTCTTGAACACCTCTATGTGCCAGGCACTGTCCTTCCTCCTGGGGCACTGGACACTCAGTGGGCATGCAATAAGTGAAGGGAAAGGAAGAAGGGAGGATGGAAGGTAAAAATGGGGATAAAAAGGAAGAAGAATTAACTCAGATCAAGTGTTACCTCCCCTCATTGTAAGAAAAGGCTTTTCCCCTTTCAACCAGCCCTGGATAGAGCAGCTCATATCTTCCTTTGTGCCTAGATTGCATTCTATGCAGATCCCTAATGTTGCACCCATAACATTTCTTCTTGATAGATTTTGAATTTTTTTTTTTTTGAAACATAGTCTTGCTCTGTCACCCCAGCTACAGTGCAATGGCGTCATCATAGCTCACTGCAACCTCCAACTTCTTGGGCTCGAGTGATCATCCTGCCTCAGCCTCCCAAGTAGCTGGGACTATATACATGTGCCACCATGTCCGGCTAATTTTTTCTATAATATTTTTAGAAGAGATGGGGTCTCACTCTTACTCAGGCTGGCCTCGAACTCCTGACCTCAAGTGATCCTCCCACCTCCCAGAGTGCTAGGATTAATGGCATGAGCCACCACACCCAGACAGATTTTGAGCTTTTCGAGGGCAGAGACCATGACAATTCTATTCTGATTCTTCGCCCCCAGAATAAGGCCTGATTTTTAAAAACAGGATCTCCCTAACTGTTAAGTGAACTAATGCTTCTTGTCACTTTTTCTCTTTTGATCATTAGTTTGAAAAAAAAGAAATTAAGAATTAAGAGGTCTTGCAAATAATAAAAAACCTCAGGAGGCTGTCTAAGCAAGATTTAACAACAGGGATTTTCAGTGATTCGGTATTGTATAACTAAAAGCCAAGGTCATTACATTGCACAACTCTGGAGGCCGCTGATCTTGTTAAGGTCTTTGTAAACAACACCACAATATGAATGGTGCCCCCTAGGTTACGCAATATGAAGCCTTGCTGGTTGGTCAGGAAGCTTAGTCTCAGTTCTAACTGACTAAGCCATCCA